TAATGGATGGATTGACGATGGAGGGATGGATGATGGATGGATGATGGGTAGATGATGGATGGATGATGGATAATGGATTATGGATGATGGATGGATGATGGATGAATAATGGATGGATGATAGATAGATAGATGATGGATGGATGATGGATAGATGATGGATGGATGGAAGGATGGATTATTAGACAATAATCCAGACTATGTTTACACTAGTCTGATTGTGACAGTGGTCTCTGATATTAGCAGACTTTGTGTTTCTGAGAGAATTTGTTTGTTCAGGTCCAAGAAACTGAGAGGAGAGACACAATGATCAGACATGTCCAATGTTTAAACCCAAAATGAGGTAAAAATTAAAATTAAATTAAAAGTTAATCCAGTTCAACATGCTCACCACAGATAATTGAAATTAAACAAAATTTTTATGAATACAGAGCCAAAACTCAGTTTGGCAGTAGTTGAGAGTCATTTCCAAAGCCTAGTGTGAGCACTAAGAGACCATGTGAGATTTTACTTCTTGTTACTAGAACTGCCTTCTTCCACCTACCCACCTATCACAAAAATTAGAAACAGCTTCTCTAAAAATGATGCAGAAAAACTGGTTGATGCATTTGTCACGTCTAGACTGGACTATTGCAATGGTTTATTATCTGGGTGTACAAAAAGTAGCAACTTTGTCTTTTAACAAAATTTCTTTGGATATTTAATGGTAATGTGTTATTTTGAGCCCTATACATAACTGATAAAATACTGAAATCTACCAAATCATGGAACTTCAATAAGTTCAGTTGATAAAATAATGTGCTTGATGGGTGACTGTAATGCTTTCTGGTGATAATTCTTACAGCTCTTTTCTGTAAAATAAAAACAGGTTTTGTAAATGTTTTACCCGCTTTCCCCCAAACATCAATGCAATAGATTAAATGTGGAACAATGATTGTGTTATACAATATGTACAGAGCTTTATCATTTAATAATTCCCTGACTTTGTATAGTACTGCAATAGATTTAGATATTTTTGTTCTTACAGAATTTATGTGATTTTTCCATGTTAGCTGTTCATCAATGATTACACCCCAAAATTTCATCTCATTAACTCTACAAATCTCAACACCCTCAATTTTAAATGGATCATCAACAGTTCTCTTTTTGTTACTAAATATCATGTATTTAGTTTTATCTAAATTTAATGATAATTTATTAAGTTTAAACCAAGTTTGTATTTGATCAAATTCTGTCTTCATCAATTCCAACATCCGTTTTACATCTTTACCCAAACAAAAAAATGTGGTGTCATCTGCAAAAAGGACACATTTGAGGAGTCCTGATACATTCACCAAGTCATTCACATATAAAATAAATAACTTTGGTCCAAGTACAGAGCCTTGAGGAACTCCACAAGTGATATTGCACAAGTCAGATCTTACACCATTTATTTGTACAAACTGTTTCCTATCTTTTAAATAGCTAGATACCCAGTGTAATGCTGGTCCTCTTATACCATATTTATTTAATTTTTCAAGGAGAATAGTGTGGTCAATAGTATTGAATGCTTTTTTTAAATCAGCAAAAATACTAACACAATACTGTTTTTGATCGACAGCAGTAGTTATTTGTTCTATTATTTCCATGAGAGCCATTGATGTAGAATTTTTTTGCTTTAAACCCATACTGACTGCTACTTAAAATGTTTTGTTTAGTAATAAATTTATCTAATCTGGTCACAAACAGTTTTTCTAGAATTTTTGAGAACTGTGGTAATAAGGATATTGGTCTATAATTATTGAACATACATTTATCACCATTTTTAAAGAGAGGAACTACCTTAGCTACTTTCATATTGTCTGGAAATATTCCTTTTGAAAATGATAAATTAAAAATATATGTAAACGGCTCGATAACATAACTCATTATGTCCTTTACAAACATCATATCCATGTGCACCCAGTCTTTTGATCTCTTATCTGTAAGATTCTTTATTACATTCATTATTTCTTCTTTGTCAGTTCCATTAAGAAAAATACTATTGTCACAACCTATAACTGAATGGTTCACATTATTGTCTACTTTTGGTATTTTAGCAGCAAGGCTTGATCCAACGTTAACAAAATAATGATTAAATCCATTTACAATTTCATTTTCATCATGGATTTCATCGTCATCCTTCAAAAAATATTGTGAAATACCTGTTTTTGCTTTGTGACTTTTCAGAACACTATTTATTACTCACCATGTAGCTTTCATATCACCACTACTTTTATTTAATAAATCACTATAATATTCCTTCTTGTGTTTCCTTATAATCGCTACTAATTTATTTTTATACTTCTTATATTTCTCTTCAGCCTCTTGTGTTCTCAATTTCAAGAAACATGTATACAAATAATTCTTTTTTTTTTTTAACAAGCATTTCTTAACCCTTTCATCATCCATGGTTGGTCAACAACATTTCTCTTTGTATAATTATTTTGCACACAATTCTTTTCATACAGAGCTCCCAAAATATTCATAAACTCATCATATGATCTGTTCACATCATCAACATACACGTCTTTCCAGCTTTGTTTATGTAAATCATCTTTTAATTTGTCCATTGCTTTTTTTGATGTTTATTGTTTTTTTTCTTAATTGTAATTTCTTTTGTAATGCTTTGATCATTTTTATAAATTGTGAAAACTGGTAAGTGATCACTCAAATCACTCATTAAAATACCTCCCATCACATCCCCATTTGTTACATTTGTGAAAATATTATCGATTATTGTAGCACTATGAGTTGTAATTCTTGTTGGTTTTGATATTAACGGATAAAGATTTAAACTATACAATGAATTTGTAAATGTACTGATGTTGTTTGAATCTGTTTTATTTCCCAGGTCAATATTAAAGTCTCCACACAAAAAAATGCTTTTAATAAAACTCTTGTCCAATAGTTGTATGATTTTATCAGTGAATATTTCTATATTTGATCCTGGAGATCGATATACACAACTTATCAATATGTTTTTATCATTCTTGTTTATTATTTCTGTTGTTATTATTTCCATATATTACTATATATTTTATGGTCTGGAGACAGAGACATGGACAAAAAGACAGAAGAAAGATGTTGAGGTTCTCCTTAGGAGTGACAAGGATGGATAAGATTAGGAATGGTATCATCAGAGGTACAGCACAGGTTCAATAACTGGGAGATAAAGTTAGAGAAGCCAGACTGAGATTATTTGGGCATGTACAGAGGAGGGACAGTGGTTTGGACATGTCCAGAGGACGGACAGTTGTTTGGACATGTCCAGAGAAGGGACAGTGGGTATATTGGTAGAAGGATGTTAGAAATGCAGCTGCCAGGAAAAAGACAAAGAGGAGATATTTGGATGCAGTTAGAGAGGAAGGACATGGAGGTAGTTGGAGTGAGGACAAAGGATGCAGAGGACAAAGTGAGATGGAGGAGGATGCCTCACTGTGGAGACCCCTGAAGAGGGAAAAGTAGAAAGAAGTAGAAGTAGAATAAATAAAAATAAATGAATGAATATGAATAAAAATATTCATTTGGACCCCCTCCCCCACCACCACAACCACACACACACACACACACATTTACCATGAAATATTAGTTCACCCCGTGCTTTTTCTATTTCTTTGTGAACAAATCCATTCCACTCGCTCAATAGGAAAGTACTCAAGCAGTAAAAAATCCACTCCAGGTTTTCCTGGTTACCTACAACATCTCTCCACACGCAGTGTTTCCCCAAGGTCACTTGGCTTGGCAGGATGCTCATCTCTGAGGATTTTTTGTGAACGAGACGGGTGAAGGCAGGGGAGACACCTCTGTGTTGCACACTAACTTAGTGCTAGTGCTGGCAGTTGTTGACCAGGAGGGGATAGGATGTGTGAGAAGCAGAGCATGCTCTATTCAAACAAGAAGAACTGTTGGTCAGGCTACTTCTTGTTGCTCTCTAAAATAGTTAATGAATCAAGTGTTTAATTATGTAGGTAAACGTAGTTGTTTAACAACTAATTAAAATACATCAGAGTGCAAGAAATGTCATCTACTTTATTCAAAACTTTATGGGGGGAGGACCCCCAGACTCCCCCCACCACCAGTGTGTCCTTCCCACATTACAAAAATGCTTCAGACCTCAATGATCTCAGGCATCAAATGTGACAGGTGAGTCCTTCAAGTAATGCTAGACTCAGACTGTGTAAGAAACTCTGTTTTATGGTTTTACCTTTATCTTGTCTCACTTCATGGCTTTTCTGTTGCACGTTAATGTCTGCACAACATGCACTTGAATGAGCAGTTGTCTATGAACAGTGGATGAATTTCTGGCTAACAGGAGGGTTTTGTTTGTAAATGGTAAATGGACTGCACTTATACAGCTCCTTTCTATCTTATCAAGATACTCAAAGATCTTTACAACACAATATGTGTCCTCATTTACCCATTCATACAGTGCTCTACTAGATCTCTACAAAGAATATTCAGTGCTTCATCACATTCATACACCGATGGGACACACATCAGAGGCAATGAGGGGTTCAGTGTCTTGCCCAGGGACGTTTCAGCATGTGACTGCTTGTGGAATTGAACCCCCAACTCTTGCATTTGAGGATGACTGCTCTAACCACTCAGCCACAGCTGCCCTGTTTGTAGTTTATACTTTCTGCTTTTTATCTAACGACAGAATGATGGTCTGAATTGTGGCAGAAGGCAAAATGTAAGAGCTCAAGAACAATGCAGAACCTTTGTGTGTAAGAGCTCTGCAGTTTGTCTCGCCCTGCTTCTCTCATTCATTGTGACCTCTGAAGCTGCTGGTTAATGCCTGTCCTGTGTCTGCATGTGACTCTGACAGAGAAAGAAGGATCTTCAGCATCCCTGGAGACTTACAGACGCAGTGAGAAGATGACTCTGGCAGGTAAATGCAGTCAAAGCAGATACACTCACCTTACACATTTACTGCGCATGCTGCACTAATGATATCCTGATGCATGCTCAATGATCCAGGTAGAAAAATCTAAAAAAAACTTAAGTAAGGTCCTCTGGATAGGTCCAAAAAAATTTGTAAAATCAGAGGAGCTGCACAAAGGCCCTATTTACATGGACACGATGGGGGGAAACTTAGGTTTTTCGTATGTTAATTAGAGGAAAAGATTTGCATTGACACGGTCGCATTTTGGGTTTACATGCATCCGGAGGATTCCCCCCCGCCCTCCCGAATCCGCTGTAGTTACCATGCCAGGTCATTAGATGGCGCTGTGAATTTTGTACCTTCACCTAATGCGCATGGGTGCTGCCTCGGCACGCTGTTTTCCTCTGGGCTAACCAGCTAACAACAACGTAACGTAACAACAAGTTAAAGCTGGATTCTGGCTGGATTTTGGATGAGTCCACAGATTTGACGCCAAACGGGACCGCTTCATCTAACAGCTCCACACCGGTCGCTAAGTGGACCAGAACCGAGTTGACGATGTCGGACTTTACTCCGTGATAATCAGTAGCTGTTTTACTGCAGGTAAATCAACGTTCTTAATAACGTTAGTTTGTGTTTACTTCGGTTACAAAACAACCAACTGAGTTTTTATTTTTCCTGAAAGAAGAAGAAGCTGTCCTCCCACCAGGCGGACTGGTTCTGAACGAGGCTCGGCCCAGATGAACTGCAGGAGGACGTCGACGACAGATGTTGGATGAACTATTTATTTTAAATTCCCCTCATTTCTTTTAATCAATCCATTCAAGTTCAGTTAACGTATTTTAACAGTGTGTTCAGTTTCATTATCAGTGTTTGTGTGACATACAGTTTGTGGTGTTGAATAAATAAATAAAAATTAGACCTGATGTTTTCATTTTCAACTTTAGTGTTCACGCTATATGTTTAGCATCATTTTAAATTTGACTAAATTTTTACATAATGTCCAGATAGCTTCATTTAGCTCAGAACTTCATTATCTCTCACACTAACATAAATACTGTTTATTATTATTAAACTGTTGTTATTTAGCACATTTATGTTATAGTGCAGCGCGACGTGTGCACGTGCCTCGTTTTATAAACAGCGACATTAGAACTGGATCTGACTGTGTCTCTTCCAACACAGATGTCGGTCACAGCACCTAGAATCTGACGTAGATTAACTACGAGATTAACAATATATTCCATCAGTCGTAGTTCTGAAAGCAATGTGTCCGCCGCCATGTTGATAGAAATATAGCATCTGTCCGCACGTGCGTGTGCGCATGTGGTTTAACACAAAGTCTCAGCGGGAGATGTTTACATTATCAGCGGGGGATCAGCGAAAAACCTCCACTCTGGAAGGTGGGTTTAGAAACCTCCGGATTCAATGGGGGGGGGGGGGGGGGGGGGGGGGTGGGGGGGGGGGGGGGCACTGGTGTCGTGTAAATGATCAGCAGAACCGCAGAGAGAAACCTGCGGATGCACTCAAAATACGCGCCGTGTAAATGGCCCCTAAGCTTGCATAAATAACACTTTCTCATAGTGGATCAACCAGTTTGTTGGTGACATCCAGAACTAGCTGTTCACATGACAGAGGACCATCAGACTAACAATGGCTCGTTAGTACCCTGATGGCCACTTGCTATTCACAGGGAGCTGCACTAATGAGACCAACTGGAACATCCATGTCACAATAATTGCTACTACAGTATAAGGATTGATGAACTACATGGTTTCTGCAGGAATCAGCCAATCAAACTGAATGCTTTTTAATGCCATCAGCAGTGCAATGCATACTCTTCTAAAGTTGTTTTAAATACCCTTTTAATGCCCATTTTAGTGCCATTGACAATTAATGCATGAACTATCACACAACCTTTTGGTTTGTGGCATGGAGCACCACCATGTGCACCGTGTGTGTACTGTAATTCTCAGACTACAGAACACGCGTGTCTCTAATCTGCATATATTAAATATAAGATAAATCATAATTTTGTACATAAATAAGACCCTCTGGTTATTCAGCCACAGGTATTTGTTCATTATCAGTATGCGTGCCCATTTCACAGACGTTGCTTTCAACACATGCTCAGTCCGCATGATCATCACAAGTCTTCATGAAGCTTTGCGGTCTGACTCATGGTTAAAACCATTAAACCTACAAAAAGAACACAATAACTATCTAAGCATAATCACTGGACAGAACAGTGCCAAACACCTTCGTAACTGAAATTATTTTAAAATTATTTACCGGTAAATATTACCCAGAAGTCTTATTGAGGTCACGTGACGGGAAGTCAACTAGTACTGGTAAAATGAGGTAAATATTCATTAAATTTTACCATTGATTTTTTATTGACAAACACTTTTGTTACAAATTGCTGTTTTTAAATGTACTTTCTAAATAAATTTGATGTGATCTCCTCAGCAGAGTGTATATGAAGAGGAGGAGGAACAGCCCCTCCCTCCCAACAAAGTCCATGCTCAATAATCCAGGTATACAATCCAAAATTTTTCAGTCAGGTAATCTGGACAGTTTCTTACCACCAGGCTCAGAAACAGTTTCTTCCCTGCAGCTGTCAGACTGCTGAACTCGAGCTGCACTGTACACCTTCATCTTTTTTTTATTTTTTTTTTACTTTTTTTATTTCACATTCGCATTCAACACCATGATCCCCCAAACCCTGATGGACAAACTATTCACACTAGGACTAAGCCCCTCCATTTGCAACTGGGTACTAGACTTTTTAACAAACAGACCACAGTTAGTGAGGATCCACAACTTCTCCTCCACCATAACCCTCAACACTGGCTCTCCTCAGGGACGTGTGTTGAGCCCCCTCCTGTTTACTCTGCTCACGTATGATTGTGCAGCTACCCATCCAGGCTGTCACATTGTAAAGTTTGCAGATGATACAGCAGTGGTGGGATGCATCACAAACAATGATGAGTCCAGCTACAGGCAAGAGGTGGAACACCTGGAGAGCTGGTGCAAAGAGAACAACCTTCACATCAATGTGAAGAAGACAAAGGAGATGATTGTGGACTTCAGAAAGAACAAAAACACCTACACCCCCCTGATCATAAGAGGATCTGCAGTAGAAGTGGTCTCCAGCTACAAGTACATGGGTGTGCACATGAATGACAACCTCAGCTGGAGCAACAACACTGCCAGCCTGATCAAGAAAGCTCATCAGAGACTCTACTTCCTCGGACGTCTGAGGCGAGGTGGTCTGGAAAGCTCAGTCCTCACCTCCTTCTACAGGTGTGCAGTGGAGAGCATCCTGTGCTCCAGCATCAACGTGTGGCATGGAGGCTGCACAGCTGCGGAAAGAAAAGCTTTGCAGAGAGTGGTGAAGGCTGCACAGAAGGTGTTGGAGTCAGTCTCCCCACCATCACAGACATCTACACCTCCAGATGCAGGAAGAGAACTGCATCATGAAGGACCCCACTCACCCAGCACACACACTTTTTGCCCCGCTCCCCTCAGGAAGGAGGTTGAGGAGCATTAAGTGTAGAACCACTAGACTGAGGAACAACTTCTACCCTGAGGCTGTTAGACTCATGAATCTCTAACCAGAATAATCACTATGAAAAAAAATCACATCATGTTGCTGCTGATCTGTTTCATGTTGCTGCAGATCTGTTTCAATGTTGATGTGTTCATGCGTGCTCATCTGCTCACACAGACTCATGTTCATGTTTGTGCTGATGTTCGACGTAATGTTTTTATGTTGTGAGTGCTTAGTGATCGACTTTGTCATTGTCTCATCTGATCTGTGGCCACATGTCTTGGACACTCGGGTGAAGAGAGGGGCAGAGCTGTCCACTGATCACTACCTGGTGGTGAGTTGGCTCCGATGGTGGGGGAGGATGCCGGTCAGACCTGGCAGACCCAAACGTATTGTGAGGGTTTGCTGGTAACGTCTGACAGAGTCTCCTGTGAGACGGAGCTTTAACTCCCACCTCCAGGAGAACTTTGAACATGTTCCAGGGGAGGTGGGGGACATTGAATCCGAGTGGGCCATGTTCCATGCCTCTATTGGCGAGGCGGCTTACCGGAGCTGTGGCCACAAGGTTGTCGGTGCCTGTCGCGGTGGCAACCCTTGAACCCGATGGTGGACACCATCGGTGAGGGATGCTGTCAGGCTGAAGAAGGAGTCCTATCGGGCCTTCGTGGCCTGTGGAACTCCAGAAGCAGCTGATGGGTACTGGCAGTCCAAGCGACATGCAGCTCAGGTTGTCACTGAGGCAAAAACTCGGGCATGGGAGGAGTTCGGAGAAGCCACGGAGAATGACTTCCGCATGGCTTCGAGGCAATTCTGGTCCAACATCCGGCGTCTCGGGGGGGGGGGGGGGGGGGTGTACACCACCAACACTGTTTATAGTGGGGGTGGTGTGCTGCTGACCTCAACTAGGGAGGTCGTGGGTCGGTGGGCAGAATACTTTGAAGACCTCCTCAATTCCACCGGCACGTCTTCCACTGAGGAAGCGGAGCCTGGGGACTCTGGATCGGGCCCTCCAATCTCTGGTGCTGAGGTCACCGAGGTGGTTAAAAAGCTCCTCGGTGGCAAGGCCCCAGGGGTGGATGAGATTCGCCCGGAGTTCCTTAAGGCTCAAGATGTTGTAGGTTGTTGGCTTACGCGACTCTGCAATATCGCATGGGCATCGGGGGAAGTTCCCCTGGATTGGCAGACCGGGGTGGTGGTTCCCCTATTCAAAAAGGGGGACCGTAAAGTGTGTTCCTAATACAGGGGGATCACGCTCTTAAGCCTCCCTGATAAGGTCTATTCGGGGGTTCTGGAGAGGAGGGTCCATCGGATAGTCGAACCTCGGATTCAGGAGGAGCAGTGCAGTTTTCATCCTGGTCGTGGAACACTGGACTCTCAGCAGGGTCCTGGAAGGTGCGTGGGAGTTTGCCCAACTGGTCTACATGTGCTTTGTGGACTTGGAGAAAGCGTTCGA